CTTTTTTCTGTGTGTGTGTGTGTGTGTAGGTTTGTGTGGTGTTCTCCTTTAATACTCTCCAGCCGAATATTACTACAATGTACCGGTGATTTGTGTTTTTAATTTTCTCAAACATCACATGAATTACATTAATAAAACCCTACGAGAAACAAATAATCTAATTACATCAGACATAAACATTAAAAAAAAAAATAATAATAATAATAATGAATGATGCCTTTTAAGAATCAAACATAAACGGACATTAGTTTCGATGAGTAGCAGATTTTCTTTTGCTCTTAGTTAGATCGGCTATTTATGAATGTGTACATATTCATGTGTTTTTTTCTTAAATAATAAAGTGTCAAAAATATTCAGTTAGCAGTATAAGTCGTTGTCTACGCAAAATACTTCGTAGTCGTTCGCCAGACACAATCAGCAACAACGTACTGCGGGAGAGAACAAGTCATACTCCAATGGAGGAGGAAATCATGAAGAAGCGGTGGAAGTGGATAGGACACTAAGATCTTTTCCAAGTTAATTCTGGAGATGTAACGTTCCCAACAGAAACTCGCCCTCACTGTACAAGCCAATAGCTCTCTGGATTTAGTAGATTAAATGATAATGTGTTGTGGGTTTGAAGCGAAGGTGCTTAATTCCAGTCATTATGTGATGACCAACTCTACAGTTCTGTACATCCAGCCAATCAATACCAGATGGAGTTAAGTGTGCTATTGAAATAATGGCAAGATTAATTGATTGCAGCACTTAACTTCACCAATGTGCAGATTCAAAACAACTCTAACAAATGAATCACAGTAACATCAGTTTTGTGAATAGACTATTTGAATGAGCAGAGATGATTTTTTTTTACGTCAACAGAAGTATACATGAGCAGATATATGCATATAATGTTACATCAGAAATAGTGTTTCATACTGGTATAATTGTTGACGCTTTATATGAAAAGACTTAAATTTCGCTAAATTCAAGAATAAACCAGGTTTCTTGCGAAAATGCTGAAGAAAATACATTCGTTTCACGGTATTTAGACGCCGATATTGTATGAATACACATGGAAGCATCACGCGTTGTCCTTTGGTTCATATTCATTCAGAAGAATTATTATTCTCGATAAATTCTGAATATCTAATGAGTAAACAGTTTCGATGTAAAATCTGAGTTTGATGTTTATGAGCAATATATATCACAGATATCCTGATCAGTTATTGAATTTTCCGACCATTTCATACAAAAAGTAGAAAAGTCGATTAAATAAACTTTGATACTCAATAACATACTGCAAACTGTTCAGTAATATATGATAAATGAAATAAAAAATTAGTACACTACCTCACAATATATTAATCTATGCGATTATTGGGTTGTGGGGGTTGTTAAGTTTTATAGAAATCATGAACTGATGATGGTTAGACTACCATAGAAAACCCCAAGTGTCGTGCAAAATAAACTACTAAGAAGTTGAGCCTACTTGGCTTGTCTAATTGTTTGATCTAATCAACTAACCTATTTTCGAGTAATGATTTATACTTCTTTTGAACTCGTCAAATATTCGCTCATAGCCTTGATTAATTTTATTTGAGCGTATGCATGTACACTCACTATTTCACTCATCGAATGTACAGCTTTTTTTTCTGACGATAATTAGTTAGTTATATCTCATGAAATAGAGTTGGTCCTCCTGCCTCCTTCTCTTTGCTTTGCTCATACACTTCTTGCTCATATGTCTCATATCTGCTTTCCATGTCGAGTGGAATAAATTTTAAACAACACAGATATAATCGAACAATATTGTTGTTTTCAATTAGATCGTCATCAGGCTTTACTATCTAATATACATGAATATTTATATGAAAATGTTAAACCAATCAAGGCAATTTGAGTGATAATCACAATGAAATGAAAAAGATTACGTTACTACACTCATAATAGGCAAAAGTACAAGTGGATAATAGGAAGACAGGTGTACTGATAGTAGTAAGAAAATTATAAAATATGATAACTAAAGTTTTAGAACAACACATATAAGCGAACAATATTGTTTTCGATTAGATCGTCATCAGGCTTTACTCTAAAATACATGAATATTTATACTTGAAAATGTTAAACCAATCAAGGCAGTTTGAGTGATAATCACGAATTTTAGAGCCTTTACATAAATCAGTTGTGCAAAGAACTGTAAAAGATGTTTTTGAGTTCACTTCCAAAGTGGAAAGTATGAATGTTAGCAAGAAAATTATGATCTCACTGGATGTGGTTTCGTTGTTCACTAACGTACCACTTCTCGAGACTATTGAATTCATATGCGAGCAAATTAAAGAAAAACAAATCAACATTGGCTTGCCCGAAGATTGCCTTAAGGAATTACTTCTAAGATGCACGATGAATGTCCATTTCGTATTCAACAACAAGTATTATAGGCAGATAGACGGTATAGCCATGGGCTCACCTCTAGGCCCGATTCTAGCTGATCTCTTTCTAGAAAAGCTAGAAAATGGACCACTCAACGAAGTTATTCAAAAACTTGATCTATATTGCCGTTATGTCGATGACACATTCATCATTGTAGATCAGGACACCAGGAAAAAAAACTTTTAGAACAATTCAACAATGTACACCTGGTAATCACGTTCACTGGTGAAGAAGAATATGATAAAAAACTGACTTTCCTTGACATCACACTAAGTAGGCGAAATGATGGTTCACTAAGTAGAAGCGTGTATAGAAAAAATCCCAGTGCTTGCCAATACACACTTTTGTAGTTTTACACCTATCCGCTACAAAAGAAATTTGGTTAGATGTTTCACTAAAAGAGCAAATATGATATGTTCAATGGATACTTTAAGTCAGGAGCTGGAATTCATCAACGGCTCACTAACCGAGATTGGTTATCCCAGCGCATTCATAAAGAAGTATATGTTTGCCGTAAAAAAGAAGTCGGTGGTTTCGACTGCCCAAAAGAAGCCTTTGTTTATGAAACTACAATTCAACGGAGATGTGGCCTGCGATACTCTGCAGGACAGATTAAGAAGAGTAATCAACAGAACATTCAACGCTGCAAAACTTGCATTGACTTTCTCCAGTCGACCTGCGATGTCTACTCAAACGAAAGATAAGTTACCTGAGTTGGCCTCCTCGATGTGCATTTACAAATTCAGCTGCTCCTGTGCAGATAGCTATATCGGGCGTACTTCCAGGCAACTTACACAACGAATGAGTGAACATCTCCCAGCATGGTTTACGAAGGGTCAGTCAAAAACAATACGCAGTTCTATCTTAGCACACCTGGTAGATAGTGGTCACATTGTAGATAAATCTAGATCTTTTCGGGTGATCTATCGTATACCTCCTTCATTTCCCAACGGAGTTCGATCCCGTCTCCTACACATTGCAGAAGCCATAGGAATACGTACATTCAACCCTAATTTATGTGTTCAGAAGAAATTCGTGACACCCCTATCTCTTCCGTGGCCGGATATGACGTAACTAATGATTGACATATTTTATTTTTATTATTTTTGATTTATTTTATTTTATTTTTACACATTTGCTTATTACGTAATGTTTTTGACGTTTTTGATGATTATGTGAATTCTATTCATCCACCCTTGACCTACTTTAGTTATCATATTTTACAAATTTTCTTACTACTATCAGTACACCTGTCTTCCTATTATCCACTTGAACTTTTGCCTATTAGATGTAGTTACGTAATCTTTTTCATTTCATTGTGATTATCACTCAAATTGCCTTGATTGGTTTAACATTTTCATATAAATATTCATGTATATTAGAGTAAAGCCTGATGACGATCTGATCGAAAACAACACTATTGTTCGCTTATATGTGTTGTTCTAATTTTCACAATGGGAATCTTTAAAAAACTAAAGTTTTATCAGTAGTAGGTTAAACGTGGATAAATAAATTCATCCAAATAACTGACGTCGCACAAACGGGATTCACCTAAGAATAATTTATGGAAAATAAAGGGAATATTTATTTCAAGTAAGAAATATAGGGATAGACTTTAATTTGTACATGATCATTCTGATTTCTAGTTTCATTTTCTCTTTAAAACTTATTGGTAAATACTATTGCCTAAAGTAGTAACGATCTAAAGATTGATTACACCGACTCTGTTGTTAAACGGTTGCCAAACTAGAATTCTCAGTAGTTGTATTAAAATAAATTGTGAAATAGAAAATGTCTTTTGATTCGAATCCTGTTCACTCTCAATTCAAATACCAAAAATTATTTTCAAAGATGGAATTACCAACTGATCTTAACTAGATCACCATTGATAACTTGAATGAATTGAACAGCTGTTTCTTCTGATATATAGCTCCCCAGTAGTGCGCACTGATGACCCTGCACACAAGGATCAAGTTTAGGTTTTCGCGCATGAGATTGATGTTCCTACGTTTGATTCACGCCCCCGAGGTCGGTAATGTGCACCGCTCAGTATTCTTATATCAAGACGAAACGGCCATCCGATTGTTCTAGGTTTTCAATGGTGATTAGTTCATAATTTCAACTGTGAAGATAACACAATCTCTGCAAATCCTTTATACACCAACTTTTAATAAGACTAATGGCGAAAATCATTTGCATTTTATCTAATGAACGGAAAAATACAATGCAAAATTAGGCACAGATTTATGTCAAATAACTTGGTTGTCAGTAAAAATACGAATTAAGTTTTCACGGAACAACCAATCAGGTTTTACACGTGATTTGATTGGTTAAAATTTAAATTGAGCAACCATATTATCGTCATAATTTTCATGTTTCAACTTTCAAGAATTTAAAGTCGGATGTAACTTCAAATAATGTTTTATAATGTGGAAACTGGAATTAGTTTTAATTTATTTCATCATTTTGTTTATATACTCATAAATTATGTTTCCTTGAATTAAATGAAGAATGCTAAAAAATGTTAAACACAAAGAACACAGCCATGATACAGATTGATAGAATTGACTTCTACGATAAAACATAATATGTCGATTCATGGGAAATACAATAAAAAATCTGTATTATTGATTTTATTTGATTTTCACGTGAAAAAGGTGGATTATTATGGTTATTATTTCATTGCATTTCTGTGGCTACTATCATCAACATCGCTCACGATTAGTAAAGAGTTAATTTTTAATGAAGGAAATAATTACTATCTATCACGATATAAAAATACTGGAAATTATTTAAGAGGACCAGAAAATCAGACTGTATTATTTAATACTAATACTATAATGCATTGTAGATTTTATGACAGAGATTATAATATGACGAAATTGCGAATGTTTTATCAGGAATATTTAAATGTCCAATGGATTATTGACGGGTTCGGTGTAAATAATGAAAGTTTAAAAGCTGTACGCGGTGAACGATATTCAATGCCTGGACCTATTGAAGAAGGTAAGATTTGAGATTTTATTTTTTCCAGTTTAAATGTAATGTCCTCAAAAACATGACTAATAGCTAAATATCAGTGCTGTAACTTAAACTAACTGTTGTGTAATGTTACCGATATTGGTGTTTATTATGACTGTTCTACAAGACTGTACGGATGAAAATGAGACTGTAGAACACTTATTTATTCATTAACTATTAATTAACTGACATTATCAATTAAAATCTGAATACTGAACAATAAATATTAATAATATTTTCAGACAGAGTTTTGGAGGTTTGTGTTTTTACATATTTGAAATCATCAATCGATCATTGTTAGACAGAGCACCATTAGAAACCTGGAAGCACTGGATGGCCGTCAAGTCCTGGTATGGGACTCATCAGTGGCAGTGAGCATCCACGACTCCTGCACTTTGCAGGATTCGAATCCAGGACCTTCGGTATTGTACGCAAACGCCTAACCATTGGACCACTGGGCCGGCGTCTTACGGTGATGATTTCAAATGTGTAAAAATAGGAATGAATTGAATCAGTAGTTAGTCAGTAGTATAATGTTTTTACAGTTTACTAATTCAGTGAATTAATTGAATTGATTGCACAATATAATTCAACACACAATTATATACACTTATGTATATGTTTGATTTATAGCAGTAAAATATAAGAACTCACTAGCTTTTTATTTACTAATGATCTTAACTTATAAATTGGCTTGAATACACTCGAATGCTGTTATTAATTTGGCTAAGTGATACTTACCGGCCGACAGAACTGATTTAAATGAAGTGGTATTTGAAACTTTTGAATATGTTGGATGAAAACAAACTGTCTTACCTACTTTATGTCGGGACAGAACATCACTAAGATATATAAAAAAGAATACTACCCTATACTCAGGTTTCATATGGTCTATTGAGAAAAAAACCTCTTATGAAATAAGACAAAGGGTAATAAGTGTGTTTCAGCTTATTTGCATCAAGTTGGGCTGCATCTCTCGCCATATGATGTATATAACGTAAATTATATTGCTATATAGAGCTGAAGGTTTCCTATGAGACCAGAGGTTCGTTGTGAACACTGTGGATGGTGTGGCAATTATTGTTACAGGCCCATAAAGAAATTCGGTCTTCAGGGTGACCAATTTCATTGATACTGGTGCTTGTCTTGCAACATTCCTGAGGGTCATTGTCATTGAGATGCTGTTGAGATGCACATCCCTATCGCTAATAATAATGAGTTTGACAGTTATGCAAACAGGATGGGTCAAATTGGCCTGTTCATGCGGTGCATATTAACTGATGCGATCATGAATCGGAAATAATCGTTACATGTAGTGGTGTAAATAAGTAGTGGTGAATGGTCCACTAGGGTGTTAGTGACCTGTTTAGGTTGCTCCATAGAATTGAGCCGAACTGTTCACGTTGAAATGTCAACATATGGGCAGTGCCTGGTTCTCCCTTACCAAACGAGATTGAATTTATACATAATAAGCTATAGAAAGGAAAATTAAAGAAATTTAATCTATGAAATCTTATGAGAATGAAATAACTCTCCTTCGTAAAACTACTGTCATAGCTATCTTTTTAACCAAAACATTTATGAGCAACTATTATTACCGCATCTATTGTTTTCTTACAATATAAGGTATGTTTACAAATGTTATAAATGACGTTTTTACAAATAGTGAAATCTGCTAACGATAAATGAATGTTTTCCTAATAATTTCTAAATAAAAAAGTCGCACTTAGCTTTATTCGTCTCAGTTTACCTACATAAAACAATCATTTACGGAAGAATCAGCTTTTAAGAAAAGTTCTACCGATTTTTTCGTTGAATGTTAACACAACTAATTGTACTCATTAGTGAATGACTTTGAAAAGTAATTCCTTAAGTCCTAGTGAATAGTTGTGACTAGTGAAGTATATCACTTGTGACACAGTTACTAGTCAAGGCCATTGAAAGATGACAGTCTGATGTAATAAGATTATTAAAATAAAACATGTAAAACCTACTGAAAACTAATTCAGGGGTTTAAAATTAGAGTGCTCATAATGAAATCTGAGTATTATGGATTCAATCCTTATAGGTTTGGATGTGAATTTCCACTTCAGTCCTGTGCTCCACAGTTTATCATTGAGTAGTAAACCCATAACATGCTTTATGTTAGACTGAATCAGTATTATCTAGTAATTTCGAGTTATAGTTATGGAGATTAATGTTTTTACACATTTGAAATCGTCACTCAATCATTGTTAGACCAGCATTAGAAAGTTGGGAGCACTGGACAGCCGTTTCGTCTTGGTTTGGGACTCATCATCAGCATTGCACATCCACGACTCCTGCACCTCGCAGGATTCGAATCCGGGGCTTTCGGTATTGTGCACGAACTCCTAACCATTGGACCACTGGGCCGGCATCTAACGGTGTTCATTGTTTGGCAACATATTGAATGATGTGAAATAAATTTCAGTCGGATTTTGATCAGTTCCATTTGATGACCTGTAATAATAAACGTCACCAATAATCAAATGTTTGCTTACGTTAAACCTTTTATAATAAAAACACATTTATACAAACGGGTGCTCAATGTCAGTCAATGATACTGTTGTTTAATAAAAGCAAAAGATTCTAATGAAAATATTCATATTACAATCCGCCATGGATACGTAATCTCTAGATTGTAAGTAAATAAAATTGTATTTCCCACTCTTATTCAGTAATAATAACCTGATATACAATTGATATCAAAAATTAAATTTTGTTCTAACAATCAATCAACTTATTTAGGAAAAAAAAATAAAACTGACCTATTTAAGGACAGTTAGGGAAAATAAAAAAAAATTTTTTTTTAATGATTAACACGCAATGTATGACACCAGGAGAATGCAATGAAATCGAGTATTCAGTGTAACTCTTTTATACAGCATGGACTACTTTCAGTGGAAACACCTGCTAGATAATCTTTAGAATAAACTCTTTTCTTTTTCTCTATATATATATATGTGTGTATGTGCGTATGTCCATTTTGTAATTGAAGTCATGAATAAAATAGACAAGAAATTGCTAGAGTGTGTTTGTTGATTGTACTTTGAAGCAGAGAGAACAAATTGAATAAACTTAAAACTTTATTATTTGAATCAATAAAAGTTTCAATCGGGATTGAATTTTATGGTTTTTAACTACCACGGAATCAATCTGATGAAATTTATGACTGACTAGTTTACTTTTTAATCTGTGGGCATGTTGAAAAGCTTGCCTTGATATTCACAAGTTTGATGATGGCTAATAGTTCATCTATATAGTTGAGCATCTAGTCGAGTGAACTTCAGATAGCATAGAAAATGTGTCTTGAATACCGATGTTAGCTACTATCCAACTACGCTCAAATCGATGTTTTCGCATGATTAAGGATCTGACGGAGAACAGTGATGTAAGACATGTTTTATCTGGGTGCACTTATCCAGTATCCAACAAAGGAAAACTGATATTTCATGACATATCTATTGATTTGATGCAATCATTAACAAGCGTTTTCAGTTTATTTAAAATCAAAACCATTTATAAGCATTATACATTGATTAGAAGTCAATATTAACAGATTTATTTATCAGGAATTTCTGTCTGATCAGTCTGATCATTTATAAATACTTTAGATTTTTCTTTTTCTAAAACTAGCAACTTAACTTTTTTCTATCAGTAGTATTTAACAATGTTTTTTTGCTACTACTGTTATATAACAAGTTATTGATTTAATGGATTGGTTACATAAAGTTTAATTATTTATTATGTTTTAAAATAAATTCCATTAGTTGTTCGTCTTTTAATCTAATTGATTATTGAACATAGTTTCATGCTGTAGTGAAGGAGAACACAGGTGAGGACAACCAAATTGTATTTATCGAAAATTACAGAGTAACTCAGTAAAATAGGAAAGCCATACCGTAACCGTTAATTTGCAAATCTTCAATCCATTGTCTGACATTTCACTATTCATGCGTTTCATACAAATTCCATTGTGTTCCCCCCACTCCTCCGTTCTTGATCTTCCTCCATCTTCTGCTGCCAGACATTACGTTTTCACTCGCGTCATATACTACTTATAAGTAGCTCGCACCACAATGCTAGTTGAATTGTGTCAGGAAAGCATAGTTATAAAATTGAGAAGTTCATATTTCCCCTTTTGAAAACGGTATTATCAAGTGTCATAGTCTGAGATATGACTAACGAACTGAATCATTAGTCCTCAACCTCTATTTATTTCTAGTGTACTTTGTTGATTACTTGTTTCAATATAAGTGCTAATTTGAAGTATATATACTTGGACTGAGTTACGACTAGGTAATTGAATGATAATTTTGATAGAATTGATATACATGTTAATTCCCTAATGGCATGGCGTAGCTATGTAGTTTATGGTGTTGAACTCAGAAAAGACTAAATTCATCAGATTAAAATGTCTTTCTTTAGAGTTTTGAGATTTATTTAAATGTCTATTGAAATTTGTTAATATCAATCTTTAATTTTCAAAATTTTATGAATATCAAGGAAAAAATGTAACATTTTGACATGGAAAATATACTGAAAGTTAATTTTTCCCCAACTTAAATTTTATAATGTCAACTGATTAAATTAAAGTTTTATTTGAATTATTAATTCAAGACAGAATGAATCTGACTGATATGCTTATACAAAATGATATTTTTGATTAGGCTTAGGAAGAAATTATCTTTTATGTAAATGCTCATAAAATCTTTACATATAATGGAACTATGATATCTTGTTTAGTCAAAACAAAATGTAGTTTATGAACTTGTGTCGTACTGAATGCTGTGATATAGAGACGTTGTAACGTCATTGATGATCAACGTTAAAATGCACTAGACATGAATGTCCTTGTTTTTCCTACTCAGTAACCAATCAAGTATGAATATTCCAGTTCTTTAGGTGATTAGTTGTTGCCTAAATAATTCAATGGTAACGCTTGACACTGAAAAACTAATTGAATTAGAATTGA